CCCTCCCCCATTTTCACTTTCCCCCTCACACACATACATACATATATACGCATATATAATAGATGTTTCGAATAAAATTTATTTTGTTTAGGGAAATATATATGATTTAAACAAAAATTTTAAATTATTTCTTTTTTTAAATATATAACAGTTTTATTTTATAATTTTATAAAATATTTTATGATAAATTTGATAATGTACAATAAAGTGAGATTTTTAATATTCATTCGTAAGATGTTGTCATTCGTGTTGCTTTTAGGTATAAGCGGAAAAGCAAAGTAATTCTATTATTTAAAAAAGAAAACAAACTCAATTATTTTAAAAAAATAACTGAGTGTATACACTTAAGTCAATCACACTGTATCTACATATATACATATGTATATTCGCATCGCAAAATTACAAATAGATGTCTGTCTCTAATTTTGTCGTTAATTATATATCAATTATCTAAAGCGCGCTCAAGGAGAATGTATTATAATCGGATATATCGCAAAATTACGTCAAAAGCGCTATCATTCTCGGATAGCTCGGAAAGCGTGAGATGCCGCGCGCCGATAAATGACGCGACGACGTCCTATTATGGATAAGGCTGGTGATATTTGCGATCGCGTCACGGATCTGTCCATCTTTGCCCGCGTCGATGCGAACGTGTGCCGAGAATCTATCCGTTTTCCCGATCGGTTTCGCTTCAGAGGATCGGCTGCCACACGTACGCGGTGCGCGAGGCCTCCTCCGGTCGGCGAAGGAAATTGCCGCGACCCAATACTAATGGATAATGGAATTATTGGTTACGGTCGGAGCTCGCCCTGGGGATGATCGTAATTCGATTGTGCTCCGATGTGTCCTGTGGACGTTTTGACAGGACGGATGTCCTAACAAGGATACCGCCTCGGGATATATCTTCGCCCGTTTCTCTGTTTCCAGGCGATGTGCACTCGCATAGGATCACGTTGTGTCGTGGAAAAACGTCGGCGAACTGTCATAAACGTACTTGTCATTTGCGGTTAAACACGATACAAATAAAGATACAGCGTTAATGCAAATATGAAACTGGGAATAATTAAGCAAAGATACGTCAAAGTATAATAATAATTTATATAATTAATTTTACCAACCAATCTAGATTTTTCTTTTTATTCGATTTTCAATTGATTTGAGAGCAAATAATTTTCTTTCTCGTCGTCCATCACATATCTCTCTTTTCAATTTTTCCTCAATTCTCTTCTTTAATCTAAATCTAATGAAAATTTGTAAGGTTGAGAGAGTTAAATACATCTCAAAAGAATTGAAATCGTCAATCGTGGCGAATCATAAAATCTGAATATCGATTTTCGAAGAATGGAATTGCCTGCTACGGGAAAATGACCGACGGCGTCGTCAAAGCGAACTATCGTCGAGAATCGATTCTCCGATTCGTCCTGGTGTATCTTGCTGAGAGAATATAAGAAAGAAAATTAATGTGGAAAAACTAATAACACTCGGAACATTTTCTGCAGAGATTCCCGCACGCGCGTCCTTCTTCCACTCGTAGATGGAAATTACGAGGACGATGGCGATAGGGGCCACCGGGCTTGGTGATCGCAACATTACGGATGTATAGGCCAATTTGTAAGCAATCCAACTTACATTCGCCGGGCAATATTATATCTTAACGTTATCTCTCTTCTCGACTATATTCGCATTCTCTCTCCCCTCTTTCTCGTATATACGTGGTCCTTCTGCATGCAACCGCGTCCATTTTTATGCGAGAGGTAATTATCGTCATCAAAATCAGAAATGTGTATCGCGTTATACGCAGTCCGGTATTTTAACATTTTGATAACGATAATGAGGACAAAAGTCACATATCTTATTTTTTTTAGAATAAACGTTTTATTTTATTGATAAATATTTCGTGTCGATTATCGTAAAATAACTTCTCAAAATATTTGATAAATATTTTTAAATCAACTCTGTACTGTAAATTATAAAACTCTTGATATTAATACCAAATATTTTACTCCGTAGTTGCTTGTATTTTATATCAAAACAAAAATTTCAATACAAAAAAATGACTTTTTTAATAATTTCCTCATAATCTTCCACGCATCGTAATCGTATTTTTAATATGCATTTATAGCGATTTGACATTATTTGTATATATTATTATATATATCGCGTTAGAAAATTTCTAAAAAGAGAGCGAAAACATTCGTACAGATTCTAATGGAAACGCGATAATCAGATACATCTGATTAAGACCGCAAAAAATGACACTCTAACGGGGTCTAGAAGACGCACGCGGTTAAATAGGCGGGTGATTTATGAAGTGGCGAAGAGACACGTGTCTCCTCCGTTCTCCTCCTTCGCTCACCTTAAACTCGACGAGGCTGCCAAGCCTCCGGTCCTCGCGCTAGGGGTTGCGGAAGGGTCTACCGGCGCTGCCGACAGTTTTGGTCCAACATCTGCCCCCGAAAAAACAAAAGCCCATTGTCGCTAACGACCGGTCGCGCGTCTCTTGTTTCTAACCGAGCGCTTTTGAATCGTAGGCGAATAACGGATCCGAGAGTAGCTCGTCCATTCAGGCTACTCTCCGCTCCTTCCTTTCGCTCTCGCTCGACCTCTCCAATCGTCGTATCCAGCTCGGCCGATCTTTTTTCTCCTCTTCACTAGCGATAGAATGAGACGTGACCAGACGTTGCCGTTATATCATCGTCTCCGGGATTTTTATCGAAAATTTTATCGTCGTTTTTACTATCGTTATTTTTATCGTCGTTATTCCGTTCCCTCCTTTCTTTCGCGTTCTCGACTGTCAGTCGAGGACCACGAACAAGCGCGATTAAAATCTCGCGTTCCTACGAAGAATGCGGGACGCGATTGTCTCGTCCGAACACAAGTCTCGACACACCGAGACTTTGCAGACTTATCTCGTTTCCTGTGCTACCGGGTCATTCTTCCGGTGAAAAACGAGAAGATGCAGATACATAGAAGCGACGAAAAAAACTCGACCGGATCGATTCTGAATGGTAAAAGGCCCCCAAAAAGATAGATTCTTATCGAAATGCTTAGATTCGTGAAAATATTTTCTAATCCGTTGAAAAGAGCTTTTGGCCCGTCAAGAAGGTACATCGAAACACGATATCGGCGAAATGTTATAGGAATACAGCCGAGTTATGTTCGCCATTTGAAAGACGCTGACAGAATTAAACGAACACGATGTATAAATCAAAGTATAATCCCTATAATCCCCGTAAATGCACGCAAAATATAATGTGAAAGATATTTTAAATATTCATATATAGTATTAATTGTAACATCGAACAATACGAGAAAATTGATCGTAAATTTAAGTTCGGCCCACCGATCGAGGGGTAACGCGGATTCTAAAGGGTTGAAATGCTCTCGAGTTTGCGCCCTGGCCAATGGTCAAGCGAGCTCCGCCCAGAAAGAATCGAACGCCGACGAAAAGCGCGAAACGAACGAAGCAGGAGACCCTGGCAGCAGCCAGGGGTAAACAAACAGGGGTTGGTGTAAAGGCCGCAAAAAATAAAGAAACCGCGCACGAGGACGAAAGAGGAGAGCGGAGATCCCCCGAGAAGCGAGACGGAGATACGAAACAAGAGGAGAGGGAGAAAACTTGGAAGGGCGAGAACGAAGGGAGAGGAGGGAGACTGGAAAACGACTGCCAAGACGGTGGAGGGTTTTTCTCGTTTTCGTCGCGAGTCTGGCAGCCCCATTTCGAATAGATATAGATACTCGACTCGTCGAGGGAAAGATCGATGTATGAAACTACTCCTGCCAATCTCTATGTTAATGCGCGAAACGTACGAGAGAATGGAGACGTAAGACGGTCGCGAGGACCGTTCTGCTGTAGTTTCTCCTGAAGGACACTCAAAAGTGAATTGTTGCGTCTGCGGCTGACCTCGCGGGCCCTCTGCCCCTCGGACGACGGTGAATTATAACGGTTGCGTAAGGGGAAATTAGTTCTGTTTGTTACGAGGAAAGTCCGCTCGCTCGGATTAGGCGAATACCGTCTGCGGCCGTTTATCGTCGAAAGGAAATTGCGGGGAAATTGAATGAGGAAAATGAAAAAAGAAGAGTCGCTTTAATTCAGAACCGAATTTTTAGGAGATCGATACTTTTATCACCTGCGCTTCAAATATGATACTTGTATAGTTTTTCACCTGCTGGGGGTTGAAAGAAATATAATAGCCGGAAAGAAACATTTTCAAACTCATTCAATTTCGCCGGAATAATAGATCTCTAGTTTTGATTCCATTAATTTAATTAATTTCCATTAAGAGTTTTTTACGACTATCGGCGAAACGAATCGCTCAAACAGAGCCGTTCGTTTTGATACCTCATCAACGGGATTATAGCTGCAGCTGGTTAATAGGTATCGTAAATCGTAATGATTAATGTCCCATTGCGAATAATGCGCGAGACATATGTCTACATTTCGTTATGCAATAGTATCTATAACACGTAAATATCGATAGTAATAAGCTGACACTGATATTGCTTTCACCATGATTCGCAGTCGGAGTCGGGGAAGCGAATATAATTGAAAGGTTTCTTTGCAGAATATAATTGCAGTAATACGTTCCTTATAACACACAATGGAATATCGTACATGACGAGATACTGCATCGAACGTAATACTTATAATTGCCGATGTAGGAAACTATTTCTTTCTCGAAAGGCATATTACTTTTCCTTTCCCCCCAAACAAATAAGGTAAAAGTATATCATATGATATATTATATTCCTTTATGTAAAAACTTCCTCACAAAAAATATCTGGAACCTTATCTCTTCGAAAATCAAAAATTGAATTTAATATTTCAATAAAAAACACGAATGACATCGTTATATAGGAACCATCAAATCTAATCGATCGCGAGTAAATTAGAATTGAATAAGAGAAGGAGTGTGGTAAATTTAATCAAACTAACTCGGCGTCCGCTTAATCAAAGTTCCAACGCATCCCCAAAGGAAACGCGCTGCTCTCTGTTACAGCGGAAACCTCGCAAGGTACCACGTCCCCAGACACCGTCCAATGCGGGGGCTGTAGGGCGTCCTACCCCCTCGGCGAGATCGTCCGGTTCATCGAACACAAGGTCAACCACTGTCGCAGCACCCTTCAGGGCTGCCACAGTCCACCGGCGACGGCTGCGCCGGAGGACTCCGATCCGGAGGACGCCCTCACCCTGAAGACCGTCGATCCGGACTCGAAGTTGAACTCGGTGCCCAGCATCTCCGCGCCCATCAACAAGAGGAGCGGTCGTTTGGAGAGCCCGCCGACGCCCCAGGGCCCAGGGCCGGATACCGGAAGTCCGATCGACCTCAAGGCGAGCGCCAGCTCGACGCCGAAGAGGCGGACGGAGGCGCCAGACGATGACAAGGAGGATCTTCCGAAAAAGCTGAAGATCGAGTCCGTGGACGCCGACACGAACACAGTCAATTCCGGTAAGTTTATTTATCGCGCTCCTCTCTCGCTTCGCGTTTTCGTCAGTGAGAACAGTAACGCTTGCTTCGCACGCATTTAAATGTAGAGCAGTGTCTTTTTTTAATTCTTTTTGAGTGACTGACGACCATTGAGTCATTTTTGATAACAATATGAACGAAATATTCATAAAACCTTGTATTTATTTTACTATATTGGCAAATTTAATAATTATAACTTGTCTCGTTACAAAAATTAAAATTAAAAAGATCCAACTCAGATCCTGCGAGTTAAAATAATTTCTATAAAAACTACTCTTATACTTTAGCAAGAAACAAACAATTGTCTCTTAACTCATATAAAATGCTACTCTAATATATCTACTGCAATATATATTTACTATATCTAGATATATATTTCCTATTGCATACAAAAAAAAAAAAGAAATAATTCTGAAGCATAATAATATCTTCAAGACATATATATTTGTAGATAAAACACTAATTAATTTTTTGGTTATTCAATATACAATGACATTAATGAGCTTGCTAAACTTTTAATTTTTCGTACCGGAGTATTATTATGTATTTTATTATTATTGTAACATATAAATATTGATGCATTTTATACTGAAATCGATTGATTGACACGGTCTCGTGTCGAGAAATGAGATATGCAACGCGATTTAGCCGTAATAATACGCGCGAATTGATTCCGTTTTCCAATTTTGCGTTTCGGCGTCCGTATTATAGATTTGAAATTTGGCAGCGTTCTAGAGCGACGGAAAAGTATGTCAGGGTTTTTTTTTTTTCATCGCCGTAAGTGTGCGTGAATCGAGGAATCCGTTGTGCCGATCCGAAATCACATGCTGGTTTGGCGAATTGTCGGTTGCCCGAAGGGACGGGGGACGAGGGTGTTTTAAAGTACAGTTATAGGGGGCTGCCATGTGATGTCGAACCTGGCCGAGCGGATACGAACAATGGATCGGTGGATTCGATTTTTGAATTTAAACCACCCGCTCGGGGATTGGGGTGAACCTGCCCCTCTCCCCCCTCTCTATCCTTCTCTCGTCCTCTTTCTCTCTCTCTCTCTCTCCTTTCGTGTCTTCCCTCGCGACGTTTCTCTGCCCCCTTTTGTTGGGAACTACATTGTCACATGTATACGTCGAAGGGTTTAACGCGCGCGAACGTCCTCAATCGGCGACGCGACACGTTGGATATAAAAGTACTACGTTATCTACTTTGCGTTTGGTTTCTTTGTGTAAAACAGAGCTCGATCATGATCGAACTGATGATCACTTTCGACTCTCTTTTTGTGGCCTACGGTTTACAAGCTCAGATTATCGCGTAATGACCGTACTTCTATAGAGAAAGAGAATTTTAGAAAAAAAAAACATTCTCTCTCTCTTTCTCTCTCTTTTATCCAGTTTTCTATTAAATCAATTAACAAATGAAAGAAGATATATTACTAATATAATAATTAATTTCGCAATAATAATTTTCATAATTAAACTATATGTATATATAACCATGATATTTATTATATTAAAAATAAAAAATAATATGTGCTTGTATTTATTATTATAATTTTAAATAGTGAGACTCCATCGTGGTTTCTAATTTCACACCGGTGGCATTCTCGATGAATCCACTGCTTCTCCTTTGAGATTCTTATACAGTGCTTAACTGTGTAAATTGATGTAAGAACCTGCTTTGCAACGCAGAATGGATTTCGCCTCTTCGCCCTCGATAACAGAGAACCACCGCTCTAGCTCTCCTATGTATTTTCCTTTATAATTAAATTATTTTTATCGTCGTATATGTTATTTATTAAAAAGAAGTCTATATTACTCGTGCGGATATACTTCTGATTATTTTCAACTTTATACGCGTAAATTTCTTTTTCGAAATATTTTCAAGGAAATATTGATATGTACCTTGTTGAAAGAAGAAATTTTTATTACGAATAATAATCTCTATTTAAAACTTCAACAGTTAAAAAATATTGACTAATGATGGATTTTTATTCTTAAAATAATAAAAGTTCTCATAATAAAATATGTAATTTTTAATTATACAACTGACTTTATTTATAATTGTATATTTCTAGTTTGTCAATTTAATTATAATTATGATTTAATTATTAATTATAATTGTAACTTAACTGAGAATTATTAATTATGATTTAAGCAACTAATCATACAAAATTTTTAATACTCGCGTGGATCCGTCATCTTTCGATTTACACGAGTGAAAAATTTCGCAGATCTTTTTTCAAATTATGGGGGATGAACTTGTCTGAACAATTTGAATTTACCCCAAAAATACTACATCGAAACATGGATGTAGTTAAATTTCTGTCGTCTCGGGAAACAAGGGCGGCCATCACGAACAAACATAATCGTGTCTCCCGAGGAGCAACGCATCAGCGGTCGTTCGTACACCGGTGTCTCTTTAAAGTTTCATCACGCTCCGCGGCGCTCGCCCCAAAACCCTCTTTTGCCAGCATGTTCCGGCAACGAGAGAAAAAGAAAGAGAGAAAGAGAGAGAGTTAACCCTTTCCGAACTGGTCCACGATCACTATAAGAATACACTCGCTCGTGCTCATCCCGCCGTTCGTCCGCTGGGGATATTCCCCGGTTAAGCCCCTTTTGTCGCCTTTTTTGTCGGATTTTTTGCTACCGGACAACCACGTCGAAAAGCCCAATTAGAATCGTCCTATTGTTCGGCCACGTGGTCCGCACGAGCCGTCCACACGAGAGCGTGTCCATACGGGCGGACGATGCGTGCGTGTTGCACGGTTGATTCACGGGGATTGCATGAGGACAGGTAAAGCAGCGCGTATCAGAAACGCGCACGTGGGGTGGCATCGACAGGATGTGCTAGAACCCTCGGTGTTTGGGCCGGAGTCCCTCTTCCGTATAATTTTTGATATATTTTTCTTTTCCTTTATCGACTATACGCGATTTGCGCGACGATACTCAGATTCCGTGTTCTCGAAAATTGGTAAAAGAATTTTCCGAAGAAAAACGCGGGATATATTTTCCGTCATTTTCGTCCAACTTAAATCCACGACGGATGCGAGTTTAGAAAAATCCGTGATTCAAGGGAAATTCGGTTATATACAGGAAAATAGAGAAGCGGAGTTACACCGCGTGTAAGAGAATGACGTTGGAGAACGTTGAGGGACAATATACGTTTCCGAGAAGGGCTGAAGGGCGAAGAAGCGAGCCGGGGTGGAGGAGGGCGACGAAAGGAGAGCGATAATCCGTCAAAATTGACACCAACCAGCGCTTCCCGGTGAGATGCAGATTTGATCTATCTGTCACGTTTGTCTCCGGGAATATTAATTCTCGTCCGCGGGTGAGGTTTTTCCCCGGCAGCTTTATGGCTCCTTTCCGATCCGCCCCCTCCTCCCTTCTCTGCTTCTACTAGCGGAGTCGACGACTTCCCGGACCGCCCGAGGTGAGCGGAGAATTGCTTGCGAATTGGCTGTCGCTCGGGGTTTCGGGGTCCTGCAGCTTTTTCCTCCTCCTTCCTTCCGTTCTTCTCTCGCGGAAGGAAGCCGACAAGAACGAAACGCACGAGCAAAAAGTGACGTAGGAAACTTTTTCGGTCATATATTTTGCATATCACCGGAACCAGAGAGCCTGCTTGCATTTTATCTCGTATTTTAGTACTAGTTTTCCAGCATTTTTTCGATGATCTAAATGTGTAATGTGAATAACGCGAAATCCGATCGCGCGCGCTTTTACTTATACGAACGAACATCTTATTGTCGATGGAATAGAATGACAGAATGCGAGAAGAATGGCACATGCTATTATAAAAATCAACGTGGAAGCCTTCAGCATGGTGGATCCTCTGAAGAGGAGTTTGCTTCCGTTTCGACTGCTCCGGTTCATATTTTACCTTCTTTCTTCCTCGACAATGACAAGGTAGTTGCGTTCTTCGCTTCCTTTGCACTTACTTCGCGTGCTTCACATAAAGGGAACCCCGCGAGAAAGAGAGAGAGAGAGAGAGAGAGAAAGAACGTCATCAAAGCTTACAAAGCAAAAGTTCAATATACGCGACGCTACGACGCGTTTAAATTACCATGTCGAGTGGCTTTTTGATTAATTTTTTTCCCTTACGTCCTCTACGTAAGGCGAGTCGGTGTCTTCCTCTCTTTTCCAGGTATAACACTACAGAAAAGAAAATCGAAGTAGCTGTAAGGAAAGTCTCTCACGCTGAGAAAAATCGACAGCATTAAACATTAAATTTCAAACTTCTAATCTTCTCGTAGAAAAATGTCGCTCTTTCGCATTTTGTTTTCATCGTATATCAAACTCTTAACTCGGTTAATTCTGAAAATTATCTTACAATATCACTGAAATTTTAAATTACAATGCGCGAAAATTTAATTTTAGATACACGCTCAGCGACTATTGTCCCGCTTTAGTCTTTGTGCCAACTCATGAGAAAAAAAAAGACTCGGATAATAAACTCTTTTAATAAATTGAGACTCGGCCCTCGAAGGGTTAATAGCCCACGGTGGTGCATTCGCGAGATTTGCGGTTTGGACGGACAAACTGAGTAACGGAGGACATAAAGGCTCCGTGAAGCGCAGTCTGACCAATCTTTTCGCGGAACTATAGTGACCACAAGGAGTATGTTACGCGACCATTCCAATATTCGTTTAGAGAGAATGAAATCGCGCCGGTCGCTATATTCGCTCGATTTTAACGGCTTCGGCTCTTTGCCGCTCAACCCACCGCGACACTCTGCGGTGGGTTGAGCGAGTCGTAAATAAAAATTTACTGGAAAAGATCTGCTAGCTACGGTTACAGACACGATGTAGACCAGATATTAATAGCGTGTGAGTATCATATATATATATATATATATTCGTTTTTCAATAACGTATCACAGAATATATTGATTGAAGCTGGTAATTTCGTGTGTGTATTTCAATATATTACATTATATATCATAAAATAATTATTATAACAAAGTTAGTTAATTAATTTTAATTTCTCCGCATCCTTATGAAATGATTTATCTCAAACGAATAATTAACGTTATATATTTTTGTTATTTTTATATTATTTTAAATTAATTTTTTGTTTTTATTTATTAATCTGTTTGGATAAGTGCCGCATATTTCTCGTTACTGCGTAAAATTGATCTCAGTTGGTTATTTAATTAATGGGTCCAGTAAAATGATTAAAATCACCCGCAAACTACCCACCTGGACATGATCCGCTGCACGTTGTCCCTTTTAAGTGCAGCCCTTGTATCGACAACAAAGTGCATACGTCGCATACGTCGGCTAATCGATATTTTAATATTGTCACACGCCATTCTGGATTAAAGGCCTTTGTATGTGTTTGTGTGTATGTATGTGTATATCATGACGTCACTGGGCGGCAGATGTGTCCCATCCAAAAAGATTTTCGAGAGCACGTTACAACGTCGCTTACACGATTAAAATTTGTTCATGAAACCACGCATAATATTCTTGCAATTATGTGTATATGATTATAAATAATTTAAACTATTTCTTTGAAATATTTTTCAAACATTAATATCGTAAAAGTTTTAATTCTTGCTAATTATTATATTAATACATGCTTGTTTCAGAATTGTTCAATTATGACAGCTGTTTTATATATATTAATTTAAGCTTTATTAAGTTAACAGTGTGAGAGAAATGATATCTTGTAAATTTTAGCAATATTTAAATATAATTAATTAGTTATCGTATAAAAATTCTCTTCTATTTACAAATTTTATGAAAAATAATTTATTTATTGACTGTCTCTCGACATCCAAAAGATAGATAATCAACAAAAAGGTATTTTCAAAAAAGCACTATTTCGAAGGGCAGGAAGAGGAGGTAAATTCGTGTTAAGTCTTCCGTAAAAGGGTTGAAAGGAAGTATTCGTAGGATGACCAGGGCTCGAATCGTTGTTAAACAATGGCGTTCCAAACGATTTGCCCGTAAACGTTGCGCAGGCCAATTTGTCGGGTAATTTCTGGAGAAAATCGTTCGGTCACTATCGTCGGAGGGCCGAATCTCATGTGCAGACATATTGTTCATTTGATTCCGCTGCCCTTTCTAAGCACGAATCCTGTTGGCATCTTTCAAACGTTCTCCTTCTCGTACTTGTATATTGTGACAAAAGTTTGCAGCATGTAGATTTATTCATTCGTTATATTATATTTCGTCACATCGTTTATTTTCGCGTGTACTTTTAAGGGTAGTCAATTTCATTGAATCTATAACGTAATATTTAATCTAAAAAAATCGAGTGGCAATTGTATCTTAATTTCCTTCCAACATTACTGCTGCTAGTTTCCAACATAAATAAAGATCCTTCGAAAAGAGCTTGTAGCAAAGTGTGCGCTGTAATTTATTACGCAACATTGCAATTCGAAACGGTGCAATTGTGTAATGTATATTGAGCTTTCCATTTATTCGATAAAAGAGTCATCGTAAACGATATAACGCGCGCATTCGCGTTTTCCCAGCCAGTCTGCCATTTCTCGCGGACACATACGGCCATGAAAATCTGAAGAAATAATCCTAACGGATGGCCACCCGCGAGGTTTGCATATGAAAAGCGCCCGGCCGTGAATCGATACACCTTTATTATGCCCGAGCACTTGCTTATCTCCCGCTTCTCTCCCTGTCTCGCATCTTCCCTCCCCGGGGAAGTCGGCAATATTTTCGACTTCCGGGGAAAGAAAAGAAGGCCCGGTCGCTTGAAGAAAGGTCGAGGGAAAGCAGCGTGGCGAACGCCCGGGGCGTGAAACAATAATTGCCGAATTTTCGCGTTTCACCACTCGACGTCAATTTCGAAGATGACTCGACCCTCACTTTCTTTCTCTCTCTCTTTCATACGAAAGAATGATTCTATTTTTCATTTTTTAATTTCTACAACTCGAGTAGGTTTGTACTTCACTCTCGTCCCGTCGCAAGATCAGGTTCTGGAGATGACTCGAAAAAAATATCAAAGTCTCGGAACTTTTGCCTGATTCGAGTTGCCAACCTTTCCTTGGTATTTCTACGAAAATTCCGTTATTTTCAAGAATTTCTTTTTAATTCGAAAAGAAGTTATATACACAAGTCGACAAATCATGAGAAATCCATTTTACAAACAAAAAACTTCTATAATCTAACAAAATTTTATTGCATACTTATTTTTTTGCGCGAATTTAATTTTTTTCGGGATGTTACTAAATTACCAAAATATTTAATGTCTAGTATTAACAAATTGCGACAAGTGTAGTCTCTCTCTAGAAAAAATAAAAAAATAAAAGAAATTAAAATAAAAAACAAATATAATTTGAAATTTCCATTAAAAAGAAACTTAAAAAAAATACGGTTTAACTAAATAGTTCTTTGAAAGTAAAGCTGGAAAGAATTAGAATTAGAACAATGGTTATATAATTAAAATATATTTCATACTTTACATATACACGATTATCTTAGAACGAAACAATTTCTCAACTCAGAAAATCACCGAAGATCTCTCGCGCCTATTCCTCCGCGATCTTTGCGCCTTGTTCGTCCGCGACTTTCTCCTCGCTCTTTTCAGCGACTAAAAAATCGCGTGCGTCAATGAGATTGCGACGATCGCATCTCATGCGACGCTGCAAGCGTAATCCTGGTGAAAGGTCAGCAAGACGAGAAAGAAAAATCCCTCGCCCACTATCGGGCTCGTTATTCTACTTAGCACCTTGTTACACACGACGAAATGTGTTCTATTGTGTATTGTCGCGAGATAAACTATCATTTACCCGGCGTCGACGAGTTGTTCCTAATTTTATTTAAGATTCATTGTCTTCACATCCTGCTCGCGCCGTCATCGGACGATTTCTCAAAGCCTCGCATTTTTACGAGCTGCTGTGAGTAATTTCACGTCAACGTTGCAATGTAAAATTACGATTGTACTTGAGGAGGCAAGGACTTGACTGTGGAATCGCTGAAAATATCTATGACATTCGTGCGGATTGATTAACATATTTTTGCAGTGAAACGTCAATATGATAAATAAACCCAATATCTTAATTACAAAAAAATAATATTTCTAATCGTACAAAAAATATGCCTCGATCCGTCGATTGTTCGGCTTTAAGACGATCCTGAAGCTTCGTTCAAACAAAGATCGCTCCCTATCCCGAACGGCCATTTAATTAGGACCACTTTATTTTGCTGCAGTCTTTTGTCTCTCCGTCTGACTTGCCTTACCTTTGTCCAAGTATCGCGAGACAGTGAAGTATAATGGGGAGGAGAGGGCGAGTCCTGAACTTTTTAATCTCTTACAAGAGGAAGTACTACTTCTCTGTCCGTTACAACGCGCACGTATTTATCTCGTCTAAGAAGTTTCTTCCCGAACAACGTTTCGTGCGTATTTATTCGTCAGACTGTGCGGGATTGCTCGCGTTCACAAATTCGTCAAGTTCGAGTTGAAAGAGAAAGGAATCCGTCCGAATCGAAATAAAAAAGTTTTGTAGCTAAAATGTTTCTTTAATATGGCTAGAATGTTATTCCGTAAAGATTGTATCGAAAATGTATTTTCGATATTGTGATGGGCCAAAATAAAATATTTCATGTAAAAATCAACATTTCAAGATGTAATAATATTAGAGAATTATATAAATTTAAATTTTTCACCCATATTATAATATCGATTAAGTTCAAAAGTACACATTATAAAAAAATATTTCCATAAGAATGATTAATCGTTATCTTAGGCAATTCCGTAGTGTTTCTCAAGACGTGAATTTTAAGTTCTTTCCTTCCTCGGGAAAGGACCCTAACGTCCGGCGTTACGATCCAAGAGAATATGCTTCCCGGGTAATGCTTTTACTCGCAAAGCGAGGGTCGTTCTTAAGCACGTGGCGCCTGCATCCTCGGTCTGTCACTTCTCCTCCTTTCGACCGTCTCATCTTATCCTCGCCGTTGGGGCGACGTCGAATTAATAAAATCCCACGGATTCGCCCCAAACGTTCGCGACGCAACGGACGTCGTCTACCGCGCTGGCGTGAAAAATGGGACGAAAATCTGATATTCCGGATTAAAAACATTGAAATTCAAAACCCGTCCCTCCCGCGTCATAAGCTCTCGCGCGCGCCATAAGGGGGAAGGAGGGTCGAGAAGTCGTTAAGGGTCAGTTTCAGCCGCATGCCGTGGTAACCGACCCCCGACGTCCCCCCACCCCTCCCCTCTCGACCGTCGTTCGACGAGGATATTATTTTTAAGCCCCCCCGCAAGTCGTCGGACCGAACCGCAATTTGACACAGACGCGCCGTTTGAATTCCGAATTCAATCGGCCGGGGCCGATCTCCGCCGGGTCTCGATTCCGCGAAATTAAGGGTGGTTCGAAAATTGATAGCGGGGCTGGGGGGCGTGCGCGCGAGCACACGTTACATACGTGTAATGTGCGTGTGCGAACATTTTACGAGCTGCCGTCACATGCTCGTGAAATTACCGTGAAGTCTCAAATCCTCCATTGTTAGATTATTACGATATATATCCAGGATCTCTCTTATAATCATCTTATTCGCGGTTCTAATCCATCGAATTATATCCTGATTTTATCAGCGTGACTCCCCCTCGCTTTTTCTTCTTTTAAAATAAACCTCAATTTACGAAATAGCTAAAAATAAAACTTCGATGTTTTACCTTCATGACATCTTTTAAATCTCTCTCTTTTCAAAAACAATTAAAAAATATTAAATAAAACAATTATTAAAAATACACACATATATATATATATAATAATTAATATTGAAAAATGCTAAATAACACACTATATATGTATTTAAATATATGTGAGAGAGATTAACTACACAATTAATCATGAATTCATCTAAATCTTCAATAATTTGTAAACTCACTAAAACTGCTTATATTTAAATTCTAAAAATTAAAACGAAATTGCGCTACGATGACAACAATAACTCTTAACCACCGCGACATTCATATATCTGTTTCAGAGCCAAGATGGCTGCAGTGCTCGCAATGTTCCCGGCGACTGTGCTCGGCGTGGGAGCTTCTTCAGCACGTACAGAGCATGCACGGCGCCCGTCTCTACTGCTCCTCCTCCTCGTCGACAAACTCGTCGTCGAACACCCCGGCGCCGAGTCCACCGACGCCTACGCCGACGCACGCGCATCACCTTAGCCCGCCAAATCACCTGAATCTGAGCGGCAAATCCACCGGAAGTTCCTCGGCCGCGAACTCATCAGGCGGCACGAACACGAGTGGCAGTAGCGGTAGCCGACAACAGCTCCAGACCTCGGCGTCCTTGGTGGGCGATCCTCTCCACAGTTTCTTGAGGTTACCCCAGCATTTGGAGCGAAGTTTCCCGCCTATGTTTAGGCCCGACTTCCTTGCCTTGAATCCTCTGGCAGGGTACAGAGGTCTCCAGGAACTGCAGACGGCCACTAGAAATCTGCAGAATCTGGGCGACCCGCTTCGCGGTATGGACGGTTTGAATCTGGGTGATCCGTTGGTACGTAGCTCGCTGGACTCGCTCAACAATGCCCGGAATCTCGCAAATTTGGCCGAATTGTCGCACGGCCGAGGCCTCGCCGGCCAAGCACATCCACCGCCACTCGAAGCGAACCTGGATTTTTACTCAGCGCGCCTAAGGAGCCTCGCTAATCCGTCCTTAGGCGCGGCTCCACCTACGCCTAGCGGTAATCCTACGACAAATCCCCCTCCTCCGCCAGTACCGCCGGTACCATCAGTCCCCATTGCTAGTAATGTTCCACAGCCGCAGCAACAACAGCCACAACAACAACAATCGCAACAGCAACAGTCGCAGTCTCATTCTCAAGCTCATTCAGTGGAACCGCCTAGTCCGGCCTCAGCCAACCCCACGAATCTAAGCCACGGCAATCATCAAAAGGAAAACTCGCCCCCTTGTTACACTCAGAGTCCAGTGGGTCACCACAACAATAACAATTCGACCGACAGCGAGAAAACAAGTCCGCCAGTAGCTTCGACGCCGATAATTACCGATTCTTCATCGGAAACGGTATACACGTGCGAGGTCTGCGACAAGAAGTTTCGCTTTCAATCCAATTTGATCGTCCATCGTCGCAGCCATCGAGACAAGGAGAGGCAGTACCAGCAGCAAGACAGCACGCAAGACAGCCAGAGCACGTCGACGAAATGCGAAGTGTGCGAAGTCGAAGTAGCGAGCTTCACCGAACTGAGAAAGCATATGAGGAAGGAGCATCAAGAGCATCTAAACTCAGCTGCCAGCCCACAGGGCAGCGTCGAAACAGTGCCGGACGACGGGTCTAGCTGTGACGAGAACATGGACCTGGACGAGATGGAGGAGAACGATCAAAAAGCCGAGCGCGAGGATGCGGAGGAGAACACACCCGAAGATCTAACGATGAGCACCAATCAAGGGCAGAGCGGCGAGGAGAGCGGAGGTCGGGTGGAGAAACCGGCCAGTCTGGTGGGCGATCTCATGGAGAAGTTCGGGCTGAGCAACATCGCCCAGTACTCGGAGGCCTATCGACAGGCGCTGCAAGAGAATCATCGCAGCGGCTTCCTCAAGACCGACTCGCCTTGCAATCTCGCCAATTCTTTGAATAACAACAAAGAGAAGGAGAGTGCGCTCTCGCCGAATTTCAACTCCTCGACGACGCCCAACATTTTTTCTGGCCAGGGGTTTCCGAGATCCTCGGGGCCGGACTTTGGCGGTCTCTGGCTACCCAGTCCGCACTACTTGGAGAACAACGAATTCCGTAAGGTGTCCAAGGCAACGACATCCAGCCTGGCGCTTCAGGGCTTGCCAAGCCCGTTGCTGAAGAAAGAGCGAAGCGGCCGAAACGATACTTGCGAGTATTGCGGCAAGGTCTTCAAGAATTGCTCGAACCTGACGGTACACAGGCGATCACACACCGGCGAAAAGCCATACAAGTGCGAGCTCTGCTCGTACGCGTGCGCTCAGAGCTCGAAGTTGACCAGGCACATGAAGACTCACGGCCGACACGGCAAGGACACATACAAGTGTCGTTTTTGCGAGATGCCGTTCTCGGTGCCAAGCACGCTCGAGAAACACATGAGAAAGTGCGTGGTGGTGGTGCAGCAGGGTCCCAAGCTAGACATACCGTACCCGGTGATCAAGGACGAGGATTCTTCACTCAGTAGTCAGCTCAGTAAGGATACTTGATCCTGGAACGGAAGCCTACCGCCAATCCCGCCGCTGTGGCCGCACAGGCCGCCATACCCGGTGTACTGAAGACGGGGAGGGATCTTCCTCCTCGGCGACCTCGATAAAGGGAGAGACACATCTGACAATCTGAATCGTGCAGGACTGGCTCGAGCTCATAGAGATCTCGGCAGCGCGATTTCAGAAGGATCTCTCACCGCGAAATATCCGAGGTCACCTCTCGGGATTAGGAGAGGTGGTAGGTCGATGCGTGATCTCGAGAATCTCTCGACCGAACGGCCTGGAAATGGCTCAGAATTATAAAAAGCAACGGGAAGATGTAGCGAAGCTGGAGTTTCGACTGGTTCGAGGAAGAGAGGATCCTCGTTCGATCGCGAAGACGAAGCGCAAAGGCGATTCACGTGACGCGAAAACAAGGAGACAGTATAAAGAGGAAAGGTGCTCGATGAGAGAAAACCTGCTCCGCGTTTAACTCACTAAAAAAACGAACGAATGGTTACCAGTTTGCGAGTCTCAGCACAGCTATTTAAATTATGTATCGCTATAAATAGTTATAAATAACGCGGAAAAAAGACACTATATAAATATAAATCTGCATATATATACATACACACAGATATAAATATATATATATAAAATATATATATATATACATATATAAATATATGAAAGGCGGATACAAATATGCAAAATATAAATATTATAAATAAGATAACGAACATATAAGTTCGTGACTTTATTATCGCATTTGAAGATTATTTATTTAATAATAGATATATATATATATATATATACATATTGTATAACGTAATATATATGTATAAATATATTATGGAAACTTGTAAAACTTGCCGTGTATGTAAGTATACTAGAAAAACGAATCGGAGTAAAGTTCTTTTTGTACATTGCACAATGTACATTGCAAATCGCTTCGTAAGAACGTGTCAATGGGACCGACGCGTCTTTTCATTTCGAATGCATCGATTTACTTAGCCCGTAAGAAGAATGGCGATTTTGATGATCCTGTGTGTATATAATATATTAAAAACACATCGATATTTGAGAAAACACCCTGTTATATATATATCAATACTTAGAATATCGAAGAAAAAAATATCTGATTAAGGTAATATATGAGAAGCTAGTATCTCTAAACTCTAGCTCGATCCTATGTACAATGTATTATATCTATTATCCGCGATTCTATTATCTTTATTAATATTATTATTGTCCTTATTATATATTGCCTTTATTATTAATATTATTATTATTGTTTTGAAACATGATTATTGTAATTATTACTATTATGGCTATTATTATTATTAGCATTCTATTATTATTACGTTTGTCACTATTATGATTACGGTTGCACAGTGAGTTCAAAAGCGCCGCTTTCATTATTTTATTCCGATATTAAATTATTATCGCAGATGTTTTTAAAGATTAAGAAAATGCCAAAGTTGTTTAGGTTTACGGCCGTTGATTTTGCGTCGCGCGCGACGCGTTCGTCGACGCGAACGAGTCGTTTAATTAATCGAGGCTGCGTCACGAGAATCCCGGGGGAAGAAAAAATATTTCCAATTGCGAAAATTCCCCTCCTTCGACGGCCACTTCGCACGTCGGGACCTATCATCAGCGCGCTTTGTTCGTTGATTATATTTATTGCCGTCACGGCTGATCGGATCGCGTCCGGCTTTCGCAGGATCGATACCGTACGTTGATCCTGCGAAAATCGTCCCGCGACCAAACCCGAGGCGCAATCAGAATCGAATTTCCGTTTTCTCTCGTCCTCGTCTGAAGACTGAAGCTTTCGCGGGCGACGTGACGATCGTTTTTCAAGTTTTTGCGTTCCATTTTGAATAGTAAACAAAATAGTATTTTTTTTCTTTTTGTTTTCCTCAACGACGCCTCGTCGACGTAAACGTTTTCGAAGGGAACTGTTCCTAAAGAGAGAGATATATATATATATACATAGACAGTAAGATTAAAGAAATAACTTTGCGATGCGTGAGAGATGAATGCGAATATCGATTGCGTGTCTCCTTGTGATTTTATTGTGCGTGTTATCCTTCTCGTTCCGGGGATGAATGTTGCGCGTGTGTGCGTGAGAACGAGAAAGCATAAAGGCGATTTAAAAAAAAAAAACTCATATCAGATAGTTCTCTCGGTGTTAGACGTGTACGGCCCTAGATAAAAAAAAATCTCTCGTTATCTAGTTAAAAGTTTGTTAGATCGATTCCTGAAATACGTACATGCCAGGCTCCGCGCGTTTATACGACATACTGTAAATAATGGCACTGCCCGTAGCGATGAGGTCCGAAAGCAGAGAGAGAGAGCCGCGTCGTCGAAAAGTTGTTTAATGATTATAACAGGAAGAGAAAAAGATAAGTTCCCTTCTCGTTCCGGGGATGAATGTTGCGCGTGTGTGCGTGAGAACGAGAAAGCATAAAGGCGATTTAAAAAAAAAAAACTCATATCAGATAGTTCTCTCGGTGTTAGACGTGTACGGCCCTAGATAAAAAAAAATCTCTCGTTATCTAGTTAAAAGTTTGTTAGATCGATTCCTGAAATACGTACATGCCAGGCTCCGCGCGTTTATACGACATACTGTAAATAATGGCTCTGCCCGTAGCGATGAGGTCCGAAAGCAGAGAGAGAGAGAGCCGCGTCGTCGAAAAGTTGTTTAATGATTATAACAGGAAGAGAAAAAGATAAGTTCAACGCGGTGATTTTTCCTTTTTCTCATATAAGGGCGCGCTCCGTCATTCGCGACTCGATCGAAGGGCGAGAAAATGATAAAGATACGAGAGGAATAAACCCTTCTCGAAAATTTGCGAGAACGAATAGAAAGAAAGAGAGAGAGAGAAGTTTTTGACGGAGCGCCGTGTATGTAATCGACGAAATAAAAAATCCTGCGGCACATCACCAATACTTTGATTTCGAAAAGTTCTCCCTCCTACTCTTCTTGCCTTTCTTGTTCGAATTCATCCCACATAGGACCAAGTTCCCTGCCACACCGAAACAAAGGAGTGACACATGCAAATCTCGCGGCGGGCGATCGGGCCGGCGGGACACGACGAGGACGAGAGCGAATTTTTATGCGAAGAATATTCTCGCGTTAGGGACACACGGCAAGATGCTGTAGCCGCGATGAATAGTAATGCGAATCCAGCATGGAAATTGCCACGGCAATTCATCCTGCTCGATTCGCACCAATCACGGGATATTAGCGTTTGATCGTATGAAAAAAAAGAAATCCAAAAAATATATGATATTGCACAAATTTTCCTCAGTATCTCGATTAATTGACGTATTAATTAATATCAATCCCGTCGTGTCTCCCCCGATTGATTTCTAATATTTCTACAGGGTAAATCACGTAAAATGCTAAAAGATAATCCCAGAACACAAATGTCAAGAATATAGTCGAGCGAAGTATCTAGGCAGTCTATATAATTTAAAGCTACGAAATATTTCCTATAATTATAATAAGGAAGCGAACACACACAGAAGAAGATCCACACATAGAGTCGATTATCGGGAGAGGAAAAGACGAAAGATAATATCGTAGCAGGGAAATTGGATTTTTAGGAAATCTTCTGATCCAGGGTAAAATATAATCCGAAGCTCGGTTTCTAGGGACAGTATGTGACCGGGTTGTTAAACCTGGCATTGCAACACTTTTAACCGAGGATCGACATTAAGGCAATACAAAAAAAAAAAAAAATAAGAAATCCAGACGTCTCCGAGTAAATTCCGGCCAAAACTTGCGACAAACGTTGGCCGAGCTTTCCTCGCAGGGGTCCCTAATTGTAAACATAGCAGATATGGTGTATGTCTTGTGCGATTCAAATAAACGACATTGTTTTTAAATAATCTACATGAGTTTTGTCTAAGTTTTCGTGCATCTCTCCCTTCCCCATTAATTGCCATTAATTATTTAACACAAACTATATATAACATTCGTATATATTTATATCTCTCTCTTTTAGCGAGAGAGTTTCCTCTTTAAATAGACTATAAAAAAATATCCATGAATAAAGTTTCTCTCGTGACTAGCGTTTTAGATTTTTGAAAAATAATTTTAAAACTAGTATTCGTTGCAATTTTTTTAACTTTCAGCATTAGAATATTTCAAAAATAATAATGAGTAACAAATTTTTATATATATAATACTCTTCCATCAGTTTAAACATAAAAGATTTATCAATCACAATTTAAAAAAAAAAAACCGTAATTTTTTGATGAATTTTTGATTTTGTGAATTTCGTTATTTATATTCGTGAAATTATAATTGACTACATACATATATAAAAAAATGTTTAATTATAATTGAATATATATTTGATAGATAATCATGACCGATAAATTATTCAGGAAACGAAAGATTCTCGCAACCATCTGTCTACGCCGTTCGTTTCCGATACGCCTCTATGTCAGGCGTAGAAAGCTCGTTACATAAATTGTTTAATTCGTCGTCGAGTCACTATCATTCGCCGCTTATTGCATTGCATAACGTGTTTCGCAATGGTTTAAAACTCGATTAAAATCGATCTATCACGCGACGAATTTTATTTAGAAATAAAAAAAGTATTCGCACAATTTTTCGTTTATCAAAAAATATAATATATAAATGTGTGATTCAATCAATCTCTACTGTCTTTACAGCTTTAATTAGTCTTAATTTGTTCATTATGTTACATATAATTAATAAATAAAAATGATAATGTACACATACATTCTGTACTCTCTGATTTTTCATTTACACAGTTGTCGTTGAAGATTGTACTTGTTTAGTATAGAATTCTTTGTGCCATCTAGCGTGAAGGTATAAGGATACAAACGAAAACTCAGGTGAGAACAATCATGTTGAACCAGAAGAGAGATGAATATGCTCCGTTGCATGTTGGGTTGCCCTACCAAAGGCTGTCCAGTTAGTTCATATCCTGTTTCGTTTACCGTTATAGAAAGTAAACGATACTTTAAAGATTCCTTTTTCTTCTATTTTCTTTTTTGCATTTTAGTAACTTTTACTATCAAAGTATGAATTATTTATGTATCGAATATATATTTTCAATGTATTTATAATATAAAACGAGCCATAATATAATATCAAATAAAAATTGTGATAAATGCTATGACGGAAAATGAAATTTAATTTTATTAAGACAAAGATATTTAATTAAAGACAAATATTTTTTGTATGTCGCTAAGAATATTTTAATTTCCAATATCAAATAATTTCCTAAATCTATTATTTATTATTTTTGCGCAAAGATGGAATAACAACAAATTATCCAATAACATTATTATACGTCAAATTTTAATAAATTTATTAAATAATTAATTAAATCAACGTTTAATTCAAGAATTTATTGTAAAAAAAAAAACTTTTTCAACATTTTATGTAATTCTAGTTGCTACTGGAATTAATATTTGTGTATTAAAGTAATAATTTTATTGTCAAAATCCTTTTTGATTAAAAATCTTGATATAATAATGGAATTAAAAAATCGCTTCCGTTTGTTATCCATTTCGCAGATGTAAATTACGAAATATGCACATCTCGATATTATCGCTA